CCCCCCCCCGGGTTGGCGAGCGGAGCGAGCAGGGGGCGAAGCCCCCTAGTTATATATAAAATATAACATTTTTCAAGTCCTTCTCCGCATCCCATTAAAATTCTAATTATGTCCAAAAGTGAATCGTTTGAAAAATTGTTGACAAAAAACATGTCATTCTTTTATTAATAGGGAAAACGATCCTTAAAGACCATAAATAAATATTAATCGTCTATGATAATAACTTAGCTTAACTTGAGAGCCAGGAATTAAATGCCCGTCCTTTTCCTAGTAATAAAAATTATGCAAAATGTGCGTTTTGCTTTAAACAACGGAGTGTTTAACTCAAAATGGACTAGACGTACCCAGCCACCATTCGCTTGGATCCAACTGGCCAAGTCCTCTTCGAGGATCTCCGTCATGGCTCTCTGAATGGAAGGAATAAACTGCGGTCGATCTTGCCGAACGCAGTCGACAGCGATAGCCCCCGCCACTGCATAAAGCGCAATTATTTTACTCCAAGTCATTTCCCCAAACCTGAGCATTTCCCTCGCAACATCGTGCAGGGCCTCGGTGGCAGTCTGCTCGGACGAAAAGGCTCCACATCCCACTTGTCTTCCTATTCTTGTGAATAGATTGGGGTGCATTTTCTCAAGCTCAACTCCAAGCGCGATCAATTCGGGGTAGACTTCAGTGAGGACGGTAGAGCAAGTGGCAGACAGTGCACTCCGCATTCGCTTCAGTCCCAGTTTTCGCTGGAATATTCCAGAGCGCTTGAGGCGATTTCTTATGTATTGGCCACATAATGAAGAGCCCTTTGAAAAAGAGAAAAATCATCCAAACCATTTGGAAGAATATTGCTAATTTATTAGCAAAAATAACTGTACTATATTCAATCCAAGAGCAACTTCCCACTTGTTCCTCTGTAGTTCGCAAAACAAATTTACGAACCTGAGCAACAATAAGTTCGAGCGAAGCAGACACAGATCTCCATCCGATCGTGTGTGAAATCCTCCTGGAAACAGCATCGCTGACATTGCTCAGTCGTCTCCTCGCGGATCCAACGACCTGAAGAGAATCCACAGACGATCCGAAAGCTGCTAAATTCGCCTGGAGAGTTAAAGCTATACTTCCCCTCCTAGTCACCAGATGAACTCCATTCTCCTCGAGTCTTCTCGCTGACATAATCGACATCGTTCAATTTTATGAATTTTTTTTCTTGCCGGAGAAAAATGTTTACACGCTATCATTATCAGGTGGAAATAATTCCACAGTGATGACGGTAACGTCTCTCGGAAGTGTCACCATCCTGACCTCCGGGTACTCACTTCACGACAAAAAATTCTGGAAAGAGAATAATTTATTATTACTGCGGTATCCTGTGACACTTCGGAGAAACTATCATTTATATCGTCAATCAATAATGTTTTGATGGATTGTTTATCGATCGCCATTCGTCATTTCTTCGTCTACAATTTAAAATTCTTGTAATTAATTTTTTTTTTTAAATTTATTTTTAATGGAGTTTGTCACGAGAAGCTTGCGGCTGGCCATCGCCCGAGGGCCTAGTCTGGTATGTACATTTTATGTTTGAAGTGTTGATGTCCGCATAAAAAAATTTCAAGTAGAAGAGAAATGGAAATAGGACTTTTTGAGATCTTCTCTAATTGTCAATATTTTCACTTATAAATTAAGATATTGACAACTGAAAAAGATCTCAATGCGTCTCATATTGTCCGACCCTTCCCTAGTATTTATAAACATATTATCTCTCTGTATAAATAAAAAAATAAGGCGAAAAATTCAGGGGACGTCGGGTGCCTATACGGGGGTTCCTATATGGGGAGGTGCCTGTATTTATAAGGGATGTCTATATGAGGGGGTGCTCATATGGAAGATATTTATGGGTACGGTCGCACCGCTGCGGTCACACGGTTAGAGGGGGCGAGCGAGCGAAGCGAGCGGGGGGGGGCGAAGCCCCCCCCCGGGTTGGCGAGCGGAGCGAGCAGGGGGCGAAGCCCCCTATTTATAATAGTTTATAAACATGGCTTGAATTCAGCAGCGAAGGCGTAAAACGGATCAAGTCGATTCAGCCTTAAGCTGAGTTTTCGAGGAATATCTTCCAATTGAAGAGAGATAAAGATATTTTTGTAATGACCTTTTTTGTAGAGCGAATTGAGGGCTATAAAAAAGATCTTAACAAAAATTTTGCTATCTCCCGTAGATTTCGAGGTATTCATTAAAAACTGGTCAATAGTGAAAATCAACTTGAACCCTTTTATCATTTCGCTAATGAATTTTAAAGATTAAAATCTAAAATAAATTCCGAAATAAATAGACGTGCAAAAATAACGTTGTCTTGTGAGAAAATTAATTTTTCGAAATTGGAGGCAAGATTAAAACCTAGAAAATCGTTGAGAAATCAGGAAAAAATTATAAAAATTCTATGCCCAATATGACAATTATCGTCCGTGTCAAACTTTATAAATAAATAATTTATGTTGCTGCGTGCCCGAAATGCCATGTTATGTCGAATCATCTGACGCTTTCTTTAAAAATTCTATGGGGGTTCTATTAAAATTGTATTAAAAAATTCCATTTGTTTTTCATGTTAACTTGATTAAGAATTATGCAACTGAAAAAAGAACAGTTCACGGTCATAGTAAAATGAATTGAATTATTAATTAATCACAAAGTGTCGATTGTAGAATGAAAAAAATAAATTAAAACATCACCTGCCCATTAGTATCATAAGACTTTTATGAAAAAGCAATTGGATGCTTTACATTGTCAAAAATGGTGATTGATTGATATTTTTTGAGAGGGAATTGTACTGGAGGCGAAAGTGAGGAGTGACTTGAGGTCCTCTCCTGCGGCTCTTGACCTGAGACCCCAATGATACCATAAAGAGACTAAGAAGACCTCGAAATACTACGTGTCACGGTTTCTGTCATGATGCGTGGCACTTAATTCATGTATAATTATTGGGACAGAGCAGAAGCGGACGAAAACGTCTGGCAAGGTTTCAGGAATTTTTATGAATGGAAGAATCGTTTAGGCATACTTCAAGGGTGATTGAAAAATCAAGGATGATCTTTTTAATTTTTTTTTCATTCCACTAGTGGAGGAGAACGCATTAATCCATTCGACGAAATTTCAGCCAGTAACCGGAAGTAGATATCGAGAAAATAAATACGGAAGTATATGACAGGAGGATTTAGTTGCTGTTACCGAGACTTTTCAACTATTAACACCATTCGTTAATAGTTTAGGAGACCCGCGCTCGCCCGCCAGTGATCATCCGTCGCACGGTTAGCGGACCGCCGCTGGGTTAAACCGAGCGCGCTGTTGCCACCTCGGCGCTTACCGCTGTGCGCGCATTTCAAGTCTAGCAGTGAATGTAGCAACACTGTCGCTCGAGGAGTCGACAGCGACGCACTCGCACCGAGCGGCACGGCGCGACTTTTCTGTCCGTTCGACGTTTTTTTTTTTTAGCTAAACAAATTTCCCGACAAAAAAACGGACAACGCCAACGCTCAATAAAAAGATTAAACTAGGAACTCTAATTTTTTCAGAATTTTTAAGCGTCGAAAAACACGCTAAAATATAGAAAAACGAAAACGGGCGGCGCCGCGCTCATTGAGCGAGTGATCGAGGGTTAACGGCAACTAAATCTCTCCATTTTTCTTAACACAGTGTAATCTCGAGAAAGAATGGGATTAAATGGATGCGGGAGGTTGAAATATCTATCTTATTCACCCTGGTACCCCATTGCCCATTTAGCACATTATTCCTCATATCTCAATTTTTTTTAATTTTTGGCTCCGAATGGATGTATTGTATCCGTCTTCTGTTAGAATTCATTTTAGATTTTAATTTTCAAAATTCAAGCCACGTTTATGCTGCTTTAACATGAGAAAAAGATGATTCATTTATTGGAAATAATTTGTTGTCTTAATGAAGTTTGAGAATTATGTTGTACTAAAAACTACTATTATTTATTAGACACTTCAATTAAAAAAGTAATTTTTTTTTTCGGTTAGCCAGTCAATGGCAAATGACGCGCTGCGGCTTTTCCCTCATTTGATGACCAATCTAGGGTCAAAATTTTGCATTGAGACCTTGTCTGCCGAAATTGTCATTCCCACATTTTCATTACACGATATCCATATTGAAGTAGACATCGTACAATTGAAACCTCCAAATGTTTAATTCATTGTGCGCTATTCAACATGTATAATTCAAGTATCTGCAATTTAAGAGAACCACAAGATTCATAAAACTCAGGCCCGGATTGATGGATTTTGTTTCTGTTGAATTCCACGGGCTCAAATGATACCTGTCGAATTGCACACAACAAATTGAACGGGTAACAAGTTGGAATTACAGTGGAGAATTCAGATTTCGCAAGGTGTAATTGGATTTGTACGTTGCAATTTAGTAGAGTTTGAGGCCCGGGTGGATATCTCCCGAACGTTAACGGGACTGTTTGTCCATTTTTATGATCTAAAATACTTATTTATATATAAAATAAAATAAAAAATATAAATATATAAAAAAAATATATATAAAATTTTATTATTATTAATAACATTATCATGATTTTATACATTTTATATTATATATATTTATATTTATTTTATATCCTAAGAGGCTTTGCCCCCTGCTCGCTCCGCTCGCCAACCCGGGGCGCTTCGCCACACCCCCCGCTCGCTTCGCTCGCCCCCTACCCACCATCCGCGTGACCGAGCGGGTTTTCTATTATATATATGAGGATATTGGGGAGAATATTTTTAAAAGTTGTAGCTGAGAGTGCCTCCTAAATGAAATCGAATTTCAGATGAAAAAAAAAGCAGAACTTCGAAAATTTTTTGGGGCAATATATTTCACATACAGATTTGGTGGAATCGCTAGACATCCTCCCCCATATGAGCACCTCCATATTTCAGCGTCCCCTGAATTCCCCCCCCCCCCCCCC